GAATCCTTGCCAAGGATAGGCAAATCTGGATGTCTGACGGTGTTACAGATATCGTCGCAGGATGGAAGCAGTTCCAAGTATAAAGCCGTCTTCTGCAATTGACCGATGGCGAATTTGTCAATGCCGATGGACTTCAAGTGTGGCTCCAATTGTTTTGCGATTGCACCCAAGGCGCCTCTGACTATTGGGACGATCCTTGCTTGCCTTTGCCACAGTCGTTCTATTTCTATTTGTAGGTCTTTGTATTTTGTTATCTCCTCCAGTTCTTTTCTATTCTGCTATCGCCAGGCACTGCCACATCCACTATCCAGATTTTGTTGTCTTTCTTAGCGACAATTGTTAAGTCTGGATTGTTGTTGTTGTTGTTATTCATTAAACATGAAACTCGGTCAACTGAACATTTAAAAATGTGTCACAAACACCATGGACTGGTGCTGATGGTTAATACGGGTTGCTGTCAGCATCTTAGATATCAACCAAGTATCTTCTTAAGATGTACGATGTTCCGAGTAGCGCAGTTTTCCGCTGGTGTTATTGCAGGAAGCTGCAATTTCTTGATGTATTTTGTAAAATTCCTGGACATGGATACCAAGTGCCCCGATGACAAGGGGTATTATTATGATTATTACGATTATTATGTTATTATATTATTATTAGCGATATAAGGAGCGGTGCGTTTAATAATTAAAAATACCTCCACAAGGGATTCAAAGGCACCTGTGATTAACCGGAACCCTTTCCAAATGAGTCACCATGTAAAGTTCCTTCACCGGAAAAAAAAAACAACCCTGCACTGATTCGCTCAACAACGGTGGCGAGAAAAATCGCACAACGGGGGAAAACTCGCTTAATCAGCCGGCTTGCTCAGCAAGCAGAAATTGGGGGGGTTCAACGGGCGGTCGGAAGGCAAGGACTTTCCTTTTGCAGAGTCTCATCGGGCGCGTCAGGCTGCCCTCAATGCTTCAGAAGGTCCCGTCGTCCGTCCGTCCCCCCCCCCCCCCCAATCCAAGCCCCCCCACCGGATCGCCCGACGTGGTGAGCGCAAGCCAGATTCGAAAGCCGAAGCCAAAGACACTGCTCATTTTTTTGGCAGCCGGAGGGCGATTTGGCCCCGAAAGACATTTAGTAGCAGGGGAGCTAAAGGTTTATCCAAATATCTCTCGGCCTCTGGCAGGGCTGCAACCTCTGCATTGGCAAGGAAGGACGGGATGCACACCAGCGGTTCTTGCAGGACTCTCCGTGACCCGGCTCCACCCTGCTGGTGACCCCCAAACCACCTCCTCTCCCTGCCTCCAACCTTGGTGGCTTCCCATATTCGATAGAGATGCCTCCATCCTTGTTGATCCAGCTGCCAGACATCTGCCACCCGCACACACACCCCCGCTTGCCGCAAGGACACCGTAAACCATTTCTCCTATCCACCCACCCCGCTTTTCTCTCTTGGCGGAAGGGAAAGCCCGCTGGGCTATAAAAAGATCCAGAGATGTTTTAGAACAGACTGCAAGGGGAGGGGGGGGAATGAAAATATATATATTAAAAAGGAAAGGAATAACACGGTCAAAGATATTGCTTCTTTGCTAGCTTTGGACGAGGGGAGGAAAACCTCAGGAAACGTTCGAAAGAAAGAGGATGGGATGATACGCCAAAGGTGGGAGGTTTTTTTCTCAAAAGGCAACCGGGCTTCCTTTGTTTTTCCTTGAAGAGGTTTCGCTTCTCATCCAAGAAGCTTCTTCAGTTCTGAGTGAATGGTGGCGGGTGGAAGCATGTATATGTTCTCACCTAGGCTTCCGCAGGAGCACGAAGCCGAGTCCCCGTCCCGATAAACCCCTTTGATTTAATTTACAGTGAATTCCTCTCCAGCCATGTCTTTCCTCTCCCACAGTCTTTCAAGATAGTTCACAATTACGTAGCTGTATCAGGCTTGGCGAGTGGCCAGGCCGATATCTTTCAGACGCCGCAATACTTGGCAAGAATGCAGGAATGAACTAATTGTCTTCTGCAAACTCCCCTCCCCTTTTGCTCCTCTTTTATTCTCGATGGGAGGGGCCCTTCATCGTCCACCTGTGGCTTTACTCCCGAGTCGACCCTTGTTCCTTAGCTGTTCCCTTCGTCTGGCAACTCTGTGCATGCGCACTCTGGGAACAGGCTCCAGCTGTTCGTCTGCCTCACTGATGTCTGATTCCGAGGGCAGCTGATACCTGTCAGACGGCCCTGACCCCCTCTCTGCCTCCGATGCAGAGCACAGACAACCAGCTCTCATACCCGCGGCTAATAACTATACAAGGCTGTAGTTTTCACTAAAACAGACAGGCCTCAAAGCGCCGTTAAATTATCAAAGAGTTTAACGTCGGCGGCTGGTGTCCCGGAGCCCAGGAGCACCAACTCACCCCAGCGCCGCTGAAATCGGCAGTCCCACGTCGCGCAGCACTCAATCAAAGTATTAAGCGCCACAAAAACGGCAGAAATTCAGATTAAAAGGATTTAGTGAAAGAACAAAAGGCACTCAAGTCTGATCCAATTGACTGAGTGAGAAGACTGTGGAGACTGGACAAGGGAGGCGTGACCCCAACTGTAGAGGGAAAACGATTGGCACTCAGTCAAACCAATTAGAGTGATCTTCTCCCAGACGTCGGAATGTCAAAGCAGCGAGTCAGGAAAATAACAGAGCATACGTGCCCCCCATGTATGCGCCCCTGCACTTGCGCGCACGGCCCCCCCTGCACATGCCCCGCCCCTCTGCACATGCGCAACAGAAACCAGCTCTCCGGCAGGAGGCGTGCGCGCATGCACAGTGAAGCTGAACTGGGGTGATGGCTCGCGTGCCCAAAGAGAGGGCGCTGTTATGCCACCTCTGGCACGCATTCCATAGGTTCGCCATCACAACTATAGGGCATTGCATGCCAAAACAACTAGACACTGGTAGTTTTTTTTCCTCGTGCTATCACTCGGCTGAACACCTGAGTCTCACACCATCGTCTACGTGTATTTACCCAAGTAGTAGGGCTGTATTACGATTATCCTTCTCATCTTCTCTGCTACTCCCTTTTATTGGTATCATTATCATCATGAAGATTATTATTACTCTGCTTCTGCACTGGGAACAAATTCCACGTGTGCCCAATCACACTTGGCCAATGACTAGTCTATTCTGCCACGGGTAGTCCTCGACGTACGACCACAATGGAGCCCAACCTTTCCGTTGCTAAGTGAAACGTTCGTTTCAGTGAGTTCAGTGCCCCGTTTTCAACGACCTTTCTTGCCCCCGTCGTTAAGTGGATCACTGCAGTTTGTTAAATTCTGTTGTTTAAGCAAATCCGGCTTTCCCCGTTCGACTTGGCTTGTCGGACGGTCGCAAAAGGAGATCACGTCACCCCGGGACAGTTGCAACCCTCATAAATAGGAAATCGGTTGGCCAAGCATCTGAACTGTGATGACACGACTGTGGAGATGCTACAACGGTCGTAAGTGTGAAAAATGGTCACTTCGTCACTTATTTCAGGGCCGTTGCAACTTTGAATGGTCACTAAATGAGCTGTTGTAAGTCGAGAACCACCTGTATTCTACAGCTATTATCTGGGACGCACTGAGGACACGAAAGCAAGCTAAACACTCATCCATCTCACACCCAGATTAATCTGTGGTTAATCAATTGACTCCCCGACAGAAAATCCACAAAACGTTAAGATTGCCCCACCCACGCCAAGGTGGATGCGTAAAATCCAAACTCCCCCACACATTTCAACCGGCTGTAGACTCAAAGGAGAAGCAAAAGTCGTGAACGGAGGAGGCTGCTCCGATACCCATAATGGAGCCTGCCCATTTCCAGTCCCGGGATGGCAGTCGTAAATCAAGGACTACTTGTATATATAAACAGGCAGCAAACCCCACACTCCCTTCTAGCACTGATAAGGTTGCTTGGTTGGGTTATGAAATGTCTACAATAAAACAACCGAGCTCAGACAGCACAAAGGATTCCCCTCCTCCTCCTCCTCTTCCTTCAAGCACTGATGAGATTACCTAGTTGGGCAATAAAACGTCTCCAAGTTCAGAGAACACCAAGGACCCCATAATTCTCCTCTTCCTCCTCCTCCTCCTCTTCGTTCAAGCACTGATGAGATTACCTAATGGGGTAATGAAACGTCTCCAAGAAAACAATCAAGCTCAGAGAGCACCAAGGACCCATTATTCCTCCTTCTCCTCCTCCACTTCGCAAATCCACTCCCTTCTAGCGCTGATGATGTTACCTAGTGGGGTTCATGAAACGTCTCCAAGGAAACAATCAAGCTTAGGGGGCACCAAACTTCAACCACAGTTGAACCCTGAGCTACAAATTGGTTGCCACGATATAAAAAAAGATGTTGAGACTCTAGAAAGAGTGCAGAGAAGAGCAACAAAGACGATTAGGGCACCGGAGGCTAAAACATATGAAGGACGATTGCAGTTCTTCCTAGTTTAATGAAAAGAAGGACTAGGGGAGACATGATAGCAGTCTTCCGATATTTGGGGGGCTGCCACAAAGAAGAGGAGGTGTCAAGCTATTCTCCAAAGCACCTGAAGGCAGGAAAAGAAGCAATGGGTGGAAACTAAGCAAGGAGAGAAGCAACCTAGAACTAAGGAGGAATTTCCTGACAGTGAGAACAATTAACCAGTGGAACAACTTGCCTCCAGAAGTTGTGGGCGCTCCATCAATGGAAGATTTCAAGAAGAGATTGGACAGCCACTTGACTGAAATGGTATAAGATCTCCCTGCTTGACTAGAAGACCTCCAAGGTCCCTTCCACCTCTGTCCTTGACATTCTGTTAATTTCTCTCTTCTATTCGATGCCGCTCACTCCACCGAGAGTCGCTAAGGCCCTCAACTCTTGAGCAGCTCTTAAGCGACCACAAGGTGCGATCCCAGCGACAACGGCGGGTCTCCAACCAGGCTCTGGAAAGCCACGGCTTCCTCAACCCAAACAACAAACCTTGGCTGGCAATCATCTGAGATACCATCAACTCACCGTACATTGGCCGAGGCGATAAGAAGCCGGCGCTCGCCGAAGGCAGCTCCACGCTCAGTTGTCCTGCGGGGAGACAGTCACCGGTTCCATCCGCAGGAGTCGGAGGGCTGCTGTCTTGATTTCTCCCATGCTCCTCTTTCTTCCTCTCTCCAGATTTGGAGGCCTTCTGCTGCGAGACCACCAGTCTGGACAAGGCCTCCTGCCCGCCCGGTACAGGCCAGGTTTTCAAGAAGACTAACGGACCTCCGGGCCGATTAGAAGGGACGTCCTCTTCTGCGGCTGCCTCTTTTTCCTCTTCTTCTTCCTCCTCATTCTTCCCGGCACCGGGATCTCCTGGATGGAATTGCTGCTGCTGCCTGTTGACCGAAGGGTCCTCTTTGCTGCTTCGAAGCCCCTCGAAGCTCCTGAGATCCGGTTGGATGGATTGCAAGGATCCCGCAGGCGGAGCCCTGGCTGACTTCATCCCGTTCTTCACCGGCGCTTCTCTGGCGAGTCCCCTTTTCGGCGACGGCTCCGCCGCGGAGTCCGAATCCTGCAAGAGGTTCTCCTCCAGCTGCAGCTTCTGAGCGATGTGGTTGAGGTAGGAACGGAAGCGTCCGCTGTGGTGCTTCTGCACGAGCCGGGCGTAAGCGTTCTTGTACGGCTTGCTAGGCCCTTCTCTCCCGCCATGGCCAACAGGGCTGTGGACGCGCCTTTGAGGCTCCATATTCCCAAAACGCTACTGGCTGAAAAGGAGCACAAATATAAAGGTACACCAGGATAGTATTAAGATTTTTTTTTTTTTAATTTTGATTTATATGCCGCCCTTCTCCGGAGACTCAGGGCAGCTTACAGTGCATTAAGCAATAGCCTTCATCCTTTTGTATATTTATACAAAGTCAGTTTATTGCCCCCACAAACTGGGTCCTCAATTTACCTACCTTAGAAAGGATGGAAGGCTGAGTCAACCTTGAGCCTGGCGAGATTCGAAGTTACTAATTGCAGACAGCTGGAGTTAAATTACAATGCATTAGTCTGCTGAGCTAAGATTGGACACTTGTTCTAGCTAACCTTCAGAATAAAACAATTACGGGTAGTCCTCGACTTATGACCGCGATGGAGCCCAACATTTGTGGGCAAGACAGTTGCAAAGTGAGTTTTGCTCCATTTTACGACTCTGCGGCCACCGTTGTTAAGGGAATCACTGCAGTTGTTAAGTGAGTAACACGGTTGTTAAGTGAATCTGGCTTCCCCATTGACTTGGCTTGTCAGAAGGTCGCAAAAGGGAATCACATGACCCCCCGGGATACTGCAACCGTCATAAATACAAGTAGTCCCGGTTGACTTACGACCAAAATTGAGCCCAAAATTTATGTAGCTAAATGAGAGTTTTGCCCCTTTTTATGACATTTCTTGCCATGTTTAGTATGGTAAGTGAATCACTGCAGTTGTTAAATGAATAAAATGGTTGTTAAGTGAATCTGGCTTCCCCATTGACTTGGCTTGTCAGAAGGTCGCAAAAGGGGATGACGTGACCCCCCGGGATACTGCAACCGTCATAAATGTGAGACAGTTGTCAAGGATTCGAATGTAAATCACGTGACTATGGGGATGCTGCAACGGTCACAAGTGTGAAAAACCGTCATGTCACTTTCTCAGTGCCGTTTTGATTTCAAGCAGTCACTAAATGAATGCTTGTAAGTATTTCCATTTGTTCTGTAGTTTTGCTATACATGTAGTCCTCGACTTACGACCCACAATTGAGCCCAACATTTCTGTTGCTAAGCAAGACATTTTTTAAGGGAACTTTGCCCCATTTTACGACCTTCCTGGCCACAGTTGTTAAATGAATCACTGCCGTTGTTAAGTTAGTGACACGGTTGTTAAATGAATCTGGCATGGACTTTGCTTGATAGATGATCTCAAACAGGGGATCACGTGACCTGTCATAAACATGAATCAGTTGCCAAGCAATTTTGATCACGTGACCCCGGGGATGCTGCAACGGTCGTAAGTGTGAAAAACTGGTCATAAGTCACTTTTTCCAGTGCCGTCGTAACTTCAAACGGTCACTAAGTAGTCTGCTGTAACTCAAGGACTACCCGTACTTCCTTTTTTTAATTTTTCCTGTAAGTTTTGCTATAGAATAAAAAAAAAAATTACAGTGATGAATGGAGAGGAATAATCGAAGTACTGGGACAATTTTAAAATGTGTGAAATAGAGAGCAGCAGGTTGGCGGAAGGCTGAACAGAGAGTCCGTTCTTAACAACGAAAGTATTCGTATTAATAGGAATAAAATAAGATAAAATTGACAGCAGTTTTGCTGTCAAAGGGTAGGACAACTCAACCTTTTATTTTAATGACTAGCGAGTATTTTTAGTTTCACCTCTCAGTCTGTAATGAGAAGTAATCTCAGTTTCTCTTTGTTATTATATGCTCGCAGCCAGTCTCAGGAATATTATGCTAATGTCATCAAGATAACAAAAGCCTTATTATCCATCCTGGAAGACTTCTGGCCTACATGAGTCAAATTGTCAATTTTTTTATATTTCATCAACCTTTGGTCGTCGTATCAACAGACGAACCCCTGCAATTTATGGAAGTGTTAAGATTGCAGCGCGCCTCATTTTTATGCTTGTCATTTTATGCTTGTGAAGAAGGCACAGAAGAGGCTGTGCTTCCTGAAAATGCTCAGGAGGATAAATCTATCTCAGCATCTATACTGCTCAAAAAAATAAAGGGAACACAAGCAGAAGATATGTGAGATCTGAATGAATGAAATAGCCTTATTAAATACTTTGTTCGTTACATAAAGGAGTTCATACGCTGCTCAAACAACTAAAGGGAACACAAAACTACTGTATGTAACGAAGAAAGTATTTAATAAGGCTATTTCATTCATTCAGATCTCGGGTGTCTTCTGCTTGTGTTCCCTTTATTTTTCTGAGCAGTGTACTTCTGTCCTACTATCGCAGCCCCATTGAGAGTATCCTGACATACGGCATTTTTGCATGATATGGGAGCAGCTCTGCAGCGGACAAAAAAGCTCTACAGAGAATCATTAAAACTGCCCAGAATATCATAAGGGCTCCAGCTACTAGTCCTGGACGACATCTTCGAATCTCGCTGTTTGAGAAAGTTGCATAACATTCTCAGAGACTCTTCCCATCCTGCTTAGAATCTTTTTGGGCTGTTGTCTTCTGGCAGAAGAGACAGAACAATTAAAACTCGGACCGCATCTTTTCTGAATAGTTTTTACCCCAGAGCTATAATTGCACTCAACCATGAACGAAAGGGCCACCATCAGTGAGCTGTTGGACAGCATTACTTGGTCTGTTGTGTGGATGTTTGGGTGGTTTAAGGGTGGAGAATTGTGGTGGGTGGGAGTGTGTTTGGGGATTGTTATGTGTGTTGGACTTGGTCTTTGGGTGTTAAGCGAATTTCGTTGTATGGGTATACTGTGTATACACGTACAATGACAATAAAGTTATTTATTTATTTATTATTTTATAATGCCCTATAAACGGAGGATCTAATGGGACAATTCACTTACAATTAGTTTAGTTTAGTTTAGTTTAGTTTAGTTTAGTTTAGTTTAGTTTAGTTTAGTTTAGTTTAGTTTAGTTTAGTTTAGTTTAGTTTAGTTTAGTTTAGTTTAGTTGATTTGATTTGTATACCGCCCTACTCCCGAAGGACTCAGGGCGGTGAACAGCCAAGCAATAAAATACATAAATACACAAAATTTAAAAACCAGATAAAATCAAATTAAATCATTTTGGCCCGGACAGATTAAAACACCCCAATAATTTAAAAACAGATTAAAATTTACATATTAAAAGAACTTTTCTAGTTCTTTGGGAAGTGATTTTTCCAATCTTAGTGTTTAAGATCCAGCTGCCTGCAATTACTGCGAGTTCAATTCTCACCAGGCTCAAGGTCGACTCAGCCTTCCATCCTTTCTAAGGTGGGTAAAATGAGGACCCAGTTTGTGGGAGCAATAAGCTGACTTTGTATAAAATATACAAAAGTATGAAGACTATTGCTTAACACATTGTAAGCTGCCCTGGGTCTCCGGAGAAGGGCGGCATATAAAAATAAATAATAAATAATAATAGTGTCAAGAAAATGCAGTGATGCCTTATTTTATTTATACTTAATTATAGTACTCTATGTTACCCTTGCTTGGCAACGTACAAGGAGTCCTCAAGTTACAGCCACAACCGAGCCCCACTTTTCTGTGGCTAAGCGATACAGTTGTTACGTGAGTTTTGCCCCATTTTACGACCTTAGGAGGTTGTTAAGTGAATCAGTGCAGTTCTTAAGTTAGTCACACACAGTTGTTAAGTGAATCTGGCTTCCTTCATGGATTTTGTTTGTCAGGTCACAAAAGGGGATCACGTGACCCCGGGACACTGCGACCGTCACAAATACAGATAGTCCTCGACTTACAAACCACAATGGAGCCCAAAATTCCTGTTGCTAAATGAGACATTTGTTAAATGAATTTTGCTCCATAAGTGGAAAAATGGTCAAAACGCAAAACCTTTTTTTCAGGGATGTTGTAACTTTGAACGGTCACTAAATGAACCGTTGTTAAGTCGAGGACTACCTGTATTTGCTATGCTTTGTTTTAAAATTACTAAAACGAGAGGATGTTCACCTCTGCTACTTCCTCATTACAACTAATTGTAATCTCTTAGTGCAATGTTTCTCAACCTTGGAAGCTTGAAGATGGGTGGACTTCAACTCCCAGAATCCCCCAGCCAGCTTCCAAGGTTGAGAAACACTGTCTTAGTGGGACATGTTTTTGCTGCCGTTTAGTCCAGGCGGTCCTTGACTTATGACCACGAGTCCAAACTTTCTGTTGCTAAGCAAGGCAGCTCGTGAGTTTTGCCCCATTCTGCAACTTTTTTGCCACACTCGTTAAGCAAATCACTGCGGTTGTTAAATGAATCGTGTGGTCATTAAGCAAATCTGGCTTCCCCCATTATCCGAAAACAGCTGGGAAGGGTTCAACAGGTGATCACATGACCCTAACAGAGTGCAACCGTCATAAGTACAAGTCAGTTGCCAAACGCCCAAGGTTTGACCACATGTCCATGGGGATGCTGCAACGGTTGTAGCTCTGCGAAACGGTCGTAAGTCACTTTTTTCCAGTGCTGTCATAACTTTGGTCACTAAACGAAAGGTTGTAAGTCGAGGAGGACCTGTAAACCTGGGTTCCAATCACCAAAAGAGGAGATTCTTCCTGCTCCAGAAAACATCACAACTGCCACACCAAACGGACGATCACGGATACAATTCGGGGACCGTTTAATTTTGGCTGGTATGTGCCAGCTGGGGCACTTTTTTTTTTCTGGATCAGAAAGCTCTGGCAACCCTTCCTGATGTCTTGCTCCCTTTGCCACACAGACTTCTGCAATGCACTCTCTACATGGGACCGCCCTTGTAGACTAACCCAACTGCAGTCAACTCACAAGACGGTTTTAGCATCACTACTGCAACGCTCTCTACATGGGGCTCCCCCTGGGGTGCACCCGGAGGCTCCAGCTGGTCCAGAACGCGGCCACGTGGGGGATTATGGGGGCGATGGGGCGCTCGCATGTGATACCTCTCCTGCGCGAGCTGCACTGGCTCCCGGTGGTCTTCCGGGTGCGCTTCAAGGTGTTGGTGACCACCTTTAAAGCGCTCCATGGCTTAGGGCCGGGGTACTACGAGACCACCTTCTGCCACCAATAGCCTCCCACCGGCCAGTACGCTCGCACAGAGTGGGCCTCCTCAGGGTGCCGTCCGCCAGACAATGTCGGCTGGCGACCCCCAGGGGGAGAGCCTTCTCTGTGGCGGCGCCCACCCTCTGGAACAACCTCCCCCCAGAGATACGTACAATAACAGACCTCCGGACTTTTCATCGGGCCCTGAAAACTTATTTATTTCAACTAGCTGGGCTGGCTTGAGTTAAATTTTAAACTGATTTTGAATTGGGTTGTTTTTAAATTACGGCCAAAAATATTTAATCATTTTAACCTGTTTTTAAATTTTGTATGTCTGTTTTTTACTTTGGCTGTTCACCGCCCTGAGTCCTATTGGAGAAGGGCGGTATAGAAATGGAAACAAATAAATAAATAAACCACCCCGGTGCCTCATTAGCTGCCAATCATTTTCCACGTCCAAATATAATGTTATCATTTCTCTGCAAAGCCAAACATAACGCAGTACTCCGTTCCCATTTGAGGTCATCCGCTCCAATCCATATTTCAGCTTGTTGGACCACCCAGAAAGAGAATCTTTAGTCTACATTTTGGGAGTGGGAGGAGGGCATAAAAGACCCCTTATGACTTAGAGCCGCACCACCCATCAGAGACCAACATGTCGATATTCTGCCAGCAATAAAAAGTATCCCGCGTGGGAGAGAATTTATACTGTGCTGGCGCTTGATTGCCATTTTGGTTGAACATTGTAAAAATATCACTATGATTGGAGGTGTGAATACAGTGGCATTGGTTTGAATTAGGGAGGTTTTGGTTAATGTGCTTAGCTGTGGTTATTTTATCCTGTATATTACTGCTCTGTGTCCTTCGAAAGGGACAATACACGCATTTTTCTACACCATGTAACATTTAAATCTCCATATGGTCTATTCTACGTCATCTCCTGGCCCAAAGCGGTACACACAATTTCTTTGGCAACAAGAGCCAATTTGGTTTATCGATGAAGGCATCAGATTAGAAGCAGGAGACGGTGAGTTCTAGTCCCGCTTTAGGCATGAAAGCAGCTGGGACTTTGGATCAATCAGAACCAGAAGACAGGGAGTTCTAGTTCTGCCTTAGGGATGAAAGCCAGCTGGGAGACTTTGGACCAATCACCAGGAGACAGGGAGTTCTAGTTCTGCCTTAGGGATGAAAGCCAGCTGGGAGACTTTGGACCAATCGCCAGGAGACAGGGAGTTCTAGTTCTGCCTTAGGTGTGAAAGCCACATCATGATTTTGGGCCAATCACCAGGAGACAGGGAGTTCTAGTTCTGCTTTAGGCATGAAAACCGCTGGGTGACTTTGGACCAATCACCAGGAGACAGGGAGTTCTAGTTCTGCCTTAGGTGTGAAAGCCACATCGGTGACTTTGGGCCAATCACCAGGAGACTGGGAGTTCTAGTTCTGCCTTAGGGATGAAAGCGGCTGGGAGACTTTGGACCAATCGCCAGGAGACAGGGAGTTCTAGTTCTGCCTTAGGGATGAAAGCCAGCTGGGAGACTTTGGGCCAATTACCAGGAGACAGGGAGTTCTAGTTCTGCCTTAGGTGTGAAAGCCACATCAGTGACTTTGGGCCAATCACCAGGAGACAGGGAGTTCTAGTTCTGCCTTAGGGATGAAAGCCGGCTGGGAGACTTTGGACCAATCGCCAGGAGACAGGGAGTTCTAGTTCTGCCTTAGGGATGAAAGCCGGCTGGGAGACTTTGGACCAATCACCAGGAGACAGGGAGTTCTAGTTCACCCTTAGGTGTGAAAGCCACATCGGTGACTTTGGGCCAATAATCACCAGGAGACTATGAGTTCTAATCCCGCCTTAGCCACGAAAGCCGGCTGGCAGAATTTGAGCCAGTCCCTCTCTCTTAGCCCAACCCACCTCACAGGGTCCGTTGTTGCGGGAAAAAAAAAAAAAAGGGGAGGAGTAGGAGGAGGAGGGCGTATTAGATACCTTGAGTTATTTGCAATAACCATAAAAGCAAGGATGCCAGTCAATACATATAAAAAGTTGTGTTCCCAGCAGGGAACCCTTCCGAGGCTGCCTTTTCCTCTCTCCCAGATCTGGAAAACCCAAAGGCTGGGATTTCCCAGTGGTCTCCCTTCCGCTTCCCACCAACATCCCCCCCAGTCCCCTTTCAAACCTCGCCATGCTCTGGAAATTGCCACCCCCCGAGCTGCCCTGGATTGTGGCTTGGCTGTGTTGGCCTGGAGAACCCCCCCCATCCCCAATTTTGCTCCTTGCATTCAGGTCTCCTGCCGTGAGCAGGGGGGTTGGGCTAGATGACCTCCAGGGGTCCCTTTCCCACTCTGTTACTGTTATTATTACTGGGGAAGCTGCCATATCCATCCATGTATCCCCTTATTTGAAAAGGCCCAAACATTTGGAGGGGAGGGGGCTGAGGGGGGGTCGAGGGGGGCAATTATTAATTAGGGGTTTGCAAGGAAGCCTATTGGGGGGGGGTCTCTCCACCCACCCACCCATATAGCATCGCCTGGCAGCCTGGCAGGGCTTCCCAATGGGGAAGGGGAGGGGCTAGGTAGCCCACCCCTGGGGGGGGGGAAGAAAGGGGGGGGGGGGAATGGAAGGAGAATCCCCTCCCCCCTCCCCAAATCTCAACCCCAATGGGGCAAAGGGGAACCCCCACCACCACCACTAACTCACCTGCCCAAACTCCGCACTGGCCTCGGCATCGGCTTCAGCTTCCCCACTTCCGGTTAGCCTCTCCTTCCGGGTCAACGCCCGGACGGCCTTCTACGGGTCGCGACGAGGCCTTTCCCCCCCAAAGCTCCAAGCGGGAAGAGCGAAGTCGAAAAAGCGTTCGCTTGGGTTGGCCGGGACGCCAACGCGAAGTCTCTCTCTCTCTCTCTCTCTCTCTCTCTCTGCGCCTTGTCTGTGGTTCCCTGAAAGGAGCCGAAGTGTCGGTTTAAGAGCTTTTTTTATACGTATAGGAATTAAAAAACCAGAGCTTTATGCAGATATAATTAAAAAAGAGCTTCGTGCATATATAAATAAGAAAAAAATATGCATATATAAATGTTAAAAATTATGCATAGATAAATGTTAAAAATTATGCATAGATAAATTTTAAAAGTTATGCATAGATAAATGTTAAAAGTTATGCATAGATAAATGTTAAAAATTATGCATAGATAAATAAAAAAATTAATGCGGGGGCATCCAACCTTAGCAACTTTTAAGATTTGTGGATAGCCTGCTTTTGATTTAAACCTTGGCAGAGCATTTTAATTATTCTGGTCCTATGCCTTTTTATCAAAGGGCAGGTTGCAAATATATCAAATAAATACAGATTATTACAGCATTCCCCGCAGTCACGTGAACAAACTCGGTTGCGGCAGTCCAGGGTCCAGGGTCCAAAGTTGGGGGAGGGGGAAGGAGCCGGATTCACTTGAATGACTGCATGATTCATTCAACAACTGTGCTGATTTGCTTAAGAATGGCAAAACAATTGTTGGAAGAAATCTCCTTCTGGGTTCAGCTCCAAGTGGGGAAAAAGACAGTGGAAACATGGAGACTGCTTGGAAAGATGGTTTAATGGTGGACAGGATCACATGGCTTGAGTTCCTGAACAGAAAAGAGGCCGAGATGCAGCGAGTCTCTGGGTTTTATGTCCTCTCTGGCTTTGAACTTCCTGGGGCCCCGAAAGAGTATCCTGATTGGTTGTCAGACTCCCAGGGGGTGGGGGTCTTAGCTAGCCTTGCTGGCTGATGTAATCTTCCCAGGTGCCATGTGGTGAGTTTCTGTTGCTAGATGGGTCCTATTGTATTGCAGATGATGGTCCATTGACAAAGGTGGAGGGGGGGAGGCAGGAAGGTGGAAGCTGCTTTGTCTTTAAAACATATTTCTCCATTTCTCATCCAGGGAAATATAATATTCTGCCTTTTTAATATTTCCTAAAATATTTCATTCTTCTAGGAAAGGGGTGGGTGCTAACTTCCTACACGGTCGTAAAATGGGCCGTGACTCCCCGCCCCGCGCCTCTCCGCTCCCCCCACTTTTGGCACACAACGGCAAAAAGGTTACCGGTGGGCCCGGTAGGCCTGTTTTTGGCCCTTCCCAGGCTCCAGAGGCTTTCTTGGAGCCTGGGGAGGGCAAAAATGCCTCCCCCACTCCCCAGAGGCCCTCCGGAGGCCGGAAACGACCTGTTTCCCGACTTCCGGTGGACCCAGAAGGTCCGTTTTTCACCCTCCCCAGGTCCAGTGGCTTTCTTGGAGCCTGGGGAGGGTGAAAACGGCCTTCCCCGCCCCCCCGGGGGCCCTCTGGAGTCCGAAAACGCCCTCCCAGAGCCTCTGCACGAGCCCTGTACTTACCTGGCATCCAAAATGGGCCGCATGGAGACTCCTGGGAGGGGAGGGGTGGCATGGGTGGGGCCAGCCGAAAATCAGCTGGCCGGTGCGCGCATGCGCACTGGAGCTTAGCTAGGGCAAAGACTCGTGTGCCCACAAATATGGCTCTATGTGCCACTTGTGGCACGCGTGCCATAGGTTTGCCATCATGGGTGTAGGGTCTTCCTGCTTGGTGAGTGGGTTGGACTAGATGGCCTACAAGGTCTCTTCCAACCTGTTAAAAAGAAGGACAATTTGGGCTCTGGAGTCCTTGGTGCTCTCTGAGTTTGGTTGTTTGCTTGCAAACATTTCATTACCTAACTAGGTAATATCTGATTATGTTTACCCTTTATACTGACTCTTCTGTAAAGTGTCACAGGGAATACCACTGCTTTCCCAAATCCGGTCTTAGGTAGAGACACATCACGACATCTAAATATAAATAGTCCTCCACTTACGACCATTCGTTTAGTGACTGTCCGAAGTTACAACAGCACTGAAAAAGTGACGTACGACCGTTTTTTAACACTTATGACCATTGCAGCCTCCCCGTGGTCACATGATCAAAATTCAGATGCTTGGCAACTGGTTCATATTTATGACGGGTGCAGCGTCCTGGGGCCACGTGATCCCCTTTTGGTGACCTTCTCGCAAGCAAAATCAAGTGGGAAGCCGGATTCACTTAACAACCCATCTTACTACCTTTAACAACTGCAGGGCAAAATTCACCTGACAACGGTCTCAATTAGCAACAGAAATTTTCGACTTGGTCATATCTTCGGCTCAATGACGGTCGTAAGTCGAGAACTAGCTTAGTGAGTTCCAGCTCACACATCCCATTAAAGTGATGTCTGGATTCCCACACTGGAACTGATCATAAAGTCACTATAGTCGATGGCAAAATGATCATGAATAATATAATTTTTTTTTTAATTTTAATTTGATTTATATGCCGCCCTTCTCCGGAGATTCAGGGCGGCTTACAATGCGTTAAGCAATATTATAATATATTATAATATATAATATTATAATAATATAATATAATAACTTTATTGTCATTGTACGTGTATACACAGTATACCCATATAACGAAATTCACTTAGCACCCAAAGACCAGGCCCAACACACATAACAATCCCCAAACACACTCCCACCCACCACAATTCTCCACCCTTAAACCACCCAAACATCCACACAACAGACCAAGTAATGCTGTCCAACAGCTCACTGATGATGGACCTTTAGTTCATGGTTGAGTGCAATTATAGCTCTGGGATAAAAAACTACTCAGAAGACGTGTGATCCGAGTTTTAATTGTCCTATATCTTCTGCAAGAAGGCAACAGTCAAAAAAGATTGTAAGCAGGATGGGGAGAATCTCTGAGAATGTTATGCAACTTTCTCAAACAGCGAGATTTGAAGATGTCGTCCAGGGCTGGTAGCTGGAGCCCGATGATATTCTGGACAGTTTTAATAATTCTCTGTACAGCTTTTATGTCCGCTGCAGAGCTGCTCCCATACCATGCAAGAATGCCGTATGTCAGGACACTCTCAATGGGGCTGCGATAGTAGGACGGAAGTAGATGCTGAGATAGATTTATCTTCCTGAAACAAACGGTCACATGTCGAGGACTGCCTGTATATAGGCAGAAAGCGAGAAAACGGACATCAAGTTAACTCAAGGAAAGATGGACAGTGAACTGGATGGAGAATGTAATTTAATTACATTTTGTTTTGCTGGATTGGAAGGCTCGGCAGCTGGTTATTAAAGGGAAAACACGAGCAGGCCGCAGGAAGTAGGCGTAAATCTCGGCATCTTTCAGATTGCCCTTGGAGATTGTGCTAGATAGCCAACTGGAAACGCCAAAATAATTTTTTCCTCCCAAGTCAACAAGTTTGGGAGAGACCAGAGCCGAGCCTGAGGAATGATCAGACAGGACAAAGCAGTTCTATTGAGTGAATCGTCCAGATTTTCCAGTTATGTCGCTGGTAACATGGATGGAGGATGTTACCGTAAATAATTCAGGACAATAAAAAGTGGTTTTTTTACTCCTGTAGAATAGAACAGAATAGAATAGAATAGAATAGAATAGAATAGAATAGAATAGAATAGAATAGAATAGAATAGAATAGAATAGAATAGAATAGAGACGGTAGAGTAGAGTAGAGTAGAGTAGAGTAAAATAGAATAGAATAGAGTAGAGTAGAGTAGAGTAGAGTAGAGTGGAATAGAATAGAATAGAGTAGAGTAGAGTGGAATAGAATAGAATAGAATAGAATAGAATAGAATAGAATAGAATAGAATAGAATAGAATAGAATAGAATAGAATAGAATAGAATTTTTTATCGGCCAAGTGTGATTGGACACACAAGGAATTTGTCTTTGGTGCATAGGCTCTCAGTGTACATAAAAGAAAAGATACATTCATCAAGAATCATAAGGTACAACACTTAATGATAGTCATAGGGTACAAATAAGCAATCAGGAAACAATATCAATATAAATTGTGAGGATACAAGCAGCAAAATTACAGTCATACAGTCATAAGTGGAAGGATGGTGGGAATGATGAGAAGATTAATAGTAATAGTAATGCAGACTTAGTGAATAGTTGGACAGTGTTGAGGGAATTAGTTGTTTAGCAGAGTGATGGCATGGGGGGAAAAACTGTCCTTGTGTCTAGTTGTTCTGGTGTACAGTGCTCTATAGCGTCGTTTTGAGGGTAGGAGTTGAAACAACTTATGTCCAGGATGTGAGGGGTGTGTAGATATTTTCCCAGCCCTCTTTTTGACTCCTGCAGTATCCAGATCCTCAATGGAAGGCAGGTTGGTATCCGTTGTTTTTTCTCAAAGAAGAAAGGACTTCTTTGAGATCCTGTAATTTTTGTTTCCCTATCATTTCTCCATCAGCTTATTTCATGTACAAGTGGCGGAGGCCCATGGCTTTCGTTTTTATTACAGGTGTCCTCAAATTACAATCATCCGCTTAGTGACCAAAGTTACAGAGACACTGAAAAAAAAAGTGACTTATAACCATTTTTCACTCTTACGACCGTTGCAACATCCCCAAGCTCACGCGAACCAAAATTCAGATGCTTAGCCACTGGCTCGTATTTACGACGGTCGCAGTGTTCGGGGGTGATGTGATCCCCTTTTGCGACCCTCTGACAAGCAAAGTCCATGGGGGAGCCAGTTTCGCTTTACGACCGTGTGAGTAATTTTAAGAACTGCAGGGATTCAATGAACAATTGTGGCAAGACAGCCGTCGTAAAATCCGGGGCGAAATTCACTCAACAACTGTCTCGCTTAGCAATGGAAATTTTGGGCTCAAGTGTGGTCGTAAATTGAACCACTGCAGTCGTTAAGTGAATCTGCCCCCCCACA